GTGTAAACCAGACAGAACTATAAAATATATTTTAAAAATACTAAGCTATCCTCTCTCTTTCTTTCTCTCCCCTCTCTTCACTTTATGGCATTTGTCATTACTTTGGATATTTTATATCTCTCTGTTCAGACTGAAGTCCCAGGTTTATAAACTAATTTTTCTTTCCTTGTCATTGCCAAAGGGAAGCTCAGAACTGAGTTACTGTCAGCTGTAAAGTTGTTTTTGAAATGGTTGTTCTTTATGTGATAGAACATGTTCATTGAACCAATAATAAATGCTTTTTACAGAAATAAGAAATGTTTTCCTCTTCTTGTTTGGCACAAGAAAAGCCAGTTCATGATAATAACATGAATCTTTGTTACAACTGGAGTTAATTTTAAAAATATGTGGATCAACTTTGAAATCTGGGAGAATGTTCCAATTTTCAGGCACATTCACCTTAAGAACTGTGGCTGTTTTTGTGTCTTTTAGGCTTTGGAAATTTATTATGGAAATTAATAAATACTCATCCGTTGGCACATAGTACTGAACTGACTAGTGTTGGTTTAAGGCAAAGTGGCAATGATCCTTTTGTCAATGAATGTTGGCGATATTTATATAGGTTCAAGAAGGACGGAGCTTGTCAAGTGGCTGATCTGATTGTGTTGTTGCTGCCATGGGGGGTGGGGGGTGAGATAGAGATGGATGATGATGATGACAACAATGATGATGGATCTTTAAATATTGTAAGCTGCCTGGAACCACCTATGTGTGAGTTGTGCTGCTATATAAATTTATATGGGAAATATAGAAGGAGGGAGGAAGCGGGGAGGAAAAAGGGAAGGAAGGAAGGATTCCTTGGTGAAGCAGATACTGTTTCCACCCCATGGTTCAGTAGCTGTGGGTTGTTTCTGCTGCGCTGTTGTGTTATGGTATTATGTATAACACCTGCTTTATTGCATATTTTATTTATTTACCTGGCTATTATCCTGGTTGCTGTAAGAATGCAAGGTAATTTAAACATAGATTCATAACAATTGTTTTCACCCTGAAATAGCAGTTGAAGTGATGATAAGAAACTCCATTTGATTGCTATGTTTCCAAGATAGAGGCATTTCAAAGTGCCCTGTGTTTAGGGGATTTAAGAACGCAGTCTTCAGGGATGAAGAATTCACCGTCTTTCAGTGGCATGTTTTTAGAAGCAGTCTTAAAAAGCAGCGGTGTCCAACCTTAGCAACTTTAAAATTGGTGGACCTCAATCCCAGAATGCTGGCTGGGGATTTCTGGGAGTTGAAGCCCACCAATTTTAAAGTTCCAAATTTGTTCATTAAAAATTGAAGAACAGTGAGCCTAACCCTAACCCAACTGAACATGGAGATGTGTTGAACTTTTGTCATCTACATTCACACTCACTGGTGTGAATGATAGAGGTTGCAGTCAGACACATCTGGAGGTTCAGTAATCTTATGCTTAGGCTGACCGCTAAGCATAACCTTAACGCCTGCCAGATATAATTGTAATTTAACTCCATCTGGAGGGCAGTTGATAAAAAGGCCCGTGTAATGAATCAAGCTTTATCTTTTGTTTGATTCAAGAACTGAAGCAAAAAAGAAATGCTTGACTTGTGAGATTACAGTTATTTATGAATTTACTGAGTCAAGTATCACTCTCTGTAATGTTTTTTCAAAGTACATGGATTGATTCCCCAAAGAATGCCTCACAGTCACTTCTAAGGCTTTGGACCTGATGTCAGAACTGAGTGGCGTTTTCTGTATCCTGCAGCAGTAGATTAAAAAGGGTCTGATCTTAAAACCGCTGCATGTTCAAAAGATTCTGCTGTTTCCAAGGGTACAGTTGGCCAAGGACGGCGAGTAGTCAGTTGTCAGAACATTCTGAGATTGATGATACTTCTAATCTAGAGGTGTTAAAAGGGGGATGTTCATTTGAAAAGAAAAAATATATATATATATATATCAGGAGCTCTACACAAGCTGGCATAAAGAGCCAGCTTGTGATTCTAAATGGAGGGCCAATCTGAGGAAGTTAGCTTGGGGTGTTTTCACTGTCACTCTTCTCAATCTGTCTCCACCATAAGATTCTGCACTAATAGTAATGGCAAGGGTAGGAGAATTAGGCATATACTTCGAAGATCTAATAGGAAGGATGATATACCCGAGGTTAAATTACTCCTGAGTAAGAGTGATATACAGGAGGGAGAAATGGTCTACCTGCCCTCGCAGACTGCCTTTCTACTCCCTACCTGTGTTCTAAGAACAGAAAAGTAAATCCGCCTCCAGGTACTTACGGTGTGTAAACATGAGTGCCTGTCTGTGTGTGTTTTTTTTTTAAAACTGGGTGCCCAGACTGTCATTGCTCCCTCCTCCCCTTCTGTTGTTTGCCTAAAGCAGAAGGATGGAAATGTAGCAAATTGCATAACGTGGAAGGGACCCTCTTTTTCTGCAAGCAGGAGTTGATATTCCAGTCTGCATCTGGACTTAGAACTCCCAAAATAGACGAAACAGAGCTCTCGCGCCTGGAGAGGAGGAGAAATTGTTGGCTGCTACCTCCATGTATACATCTCTTGTGTGTTTTTGTATTAAACCTTCCTTTCCATAAATTGTTCTCTTTTTGGTGCTTCGCTATGGGAACAGTCAAGCAAGGGGGCTTCCCAGACAGCTTTTGTGTTGTGCGCTGAGAAGCTGGCAACCCTTAAAACAGCCTCACTTTTTTCCCCCCCTCAGTCTCAGACTCTTCCCTTTCCTTTTTCCCTCCTCCCATTTTCCCTTCGGCTCTGCTGACATTACATCGATAGATGTGCTTGAAAGGAAAACAGCAGAGAGGGTTGAACGCCTGCCAGATTCTCTTGCTGCTATCCCTTGCCTATTTTCTCTCTCTCTCTCTCCCTCTCTCTCTCTCTCTCTCTCTCTCTCTCTCTCTCTCTCTCTCTCTCTCTCTCTCTCTCTCTCTCTCTTTCTCCCAGGTCTTCAGTTGTATACATTTATTTCTTTCCTTGCTGTCTCCAGATTTCTTCGCTGCCTATGTATATCACCAGGGATATCTCACACCCCCTTCCTACAATAGTTGATTCAAAAAATTAGTTTTTCCCCTTGGCTTCCTGGCCTGCTCTCTGTAATTACACATATCCTAACTGCGTTCAATATACTTTCTTTCTGGGAAGGTACCGGTGTTGATTGCACTTGTAGAACTGTTAGTTGATTATTCGGTGATTCCCTTAGGGATGCCAGCTAGGGGAAGGCTTTTACACTCTCAAAAAGTGTTCTTCCTACCCTCTGCTGTGAGTCTTTCCCGGTTTGTCCTCCAGAGTTGCTCATTTGTTGCTTAGCTGACCAGAAGAGATGAGAAAGGGGTCAGGTGAGGGGCTATAAAAAAGGGAGATGGGCGGCAGAAGTTTTGATTAGACCTTTTCCAGGAATTTTTCTTCCAAAAAAAAAAAGATTTTTTTTATTTCTGCAAAAAAAAAGAAAAAAGATGTTTACCCCCATTGTTGTCTTTTCTCACTAGGTGGAAAGAATCTGTTAGTGGTTCGAGTCCTTCCTTCCTGGCACCCACTTGCGTCTTTTAAACATTTCGTTCTGATCTTCCTGTATATTTAGTTTGGTGAAGGGCCCTCCAACTTCAGATTTAACACCTACGAGAAGGGAAGGGGGTTTAGTTTGAATCGAGCCTGATTAGCTTCACTGCTTGATGGCATCTTTGCTAGAAATCCATCGATTATCAGTTGGATGGCTTGTCGTTGAGATCTTGGGTTCCGCATAACTGAGGGTTATCTAGAACCAGCACACAGACAACTCAATAATGCTGTCCCAATATTAAATAACAATAATTGCTTTGGCATTTGGGCATTAGCAGAATTAAGACCTCCAGCAAAAATCAGACGTAATACACCCCATCTCTACTTTGCAGCTAAAATTGCTTTTTTAAGGACCACCCCCCCCCCGATGATTTCCTAAACAACCCAGTTACCCTGGGGAGGGATATATTGCTGATAATGTCACGAAACCGATTGATGTGGCTGATGTAAAGTGCTAAGAGCGTATGATTTATAGCAAACCAGAGAGAGTTGCTACCTTCTGTCCTACGACCAAGTCTTTCCCATCATTTTATTGTTTCGATTTTGTTGAAACAGCATTTTATTATTGGGAAATAATTCATCAATAAACTTAGAATGCAAGATTACCAAATTAGTAAGTATGGGGACAATTTGTGCCATATAACACAGTAGCCTGCAGGTAGTCCCTAAGTCCTAAGGGAACTTGGGGACTATTCAAAGTTACAGATGACACCGAAACAAGCAACTTATGACTGTTTTCCATACCGAGGACCGTTGCAGCATCCTCATGAACACGGGATCAAAATCCAGTCGTTTGGCAACTGGTCCTTATTTATTGCAGTTGCAGAATCCTGGGGTCCCCTTTTCCGTCCTTCTAACCAGCAAAGAAGCCAGATTCATTTAACAACCACGCTACTAACGTCAACAGCTGCAACGATTCACTTAACAACAGTGGCAAGAAAGGTCGTAAAATGGGGAGGAGGCAAAACTCACTTAACAAATGTTTCACTTAGCAGCATAAATTCTGGGCTCAATTGCGGCCATTTAAGTCTGCTTATATAATGATCCTCGACAGAAATCGTGACTGACTTTGTCTTCTCAAACCGCTGACTCGAATCCTGGTTGGATCATGTGAGCTAAAGGGGCATCTGTGGTTCGGGCAGCTTCTCCTTTGGACCTGAGACACCACTTCCCCCCCCCCCCATATGTTTGCTCCTGCCAGAGTGATTTGGACCTAGCTTCCTTTCAACTCTGTTTTCATTGTCAACTACTTTGACTTTGAGAGGGAGGAGCAGTCCCAGAACCCCAAGTTCTCCCATCTCTCATCTGATGTGGAAGTTAGGCTTCTTTGCCATGCCATCTTGATACAGTATTTTGCAAACATGCTAATTAATGAAAGCTTGTGTTCTCTTTCTCCCTCCTTCTCCTCTCCCCCCCCCTCCCCTTGCAGCCAGTTGCTGAACCAATCCCAATCTGCAGTTTCTGCCTTGGTACAAAAGAACAAAACCGAGAAAAGAAACCTGAGGAGCTCATCTCTTGTGCCGATTGCGGCAACAGCGGTAGGTGACTTTCCATGTAAAATTTGGGCACTAAGGTTTGTTGGCACTGGACATGATCCATCTGTTGATCTGGTTGGAAACAGTAAATAGTTTCTAAAGGTAAATGGGAATAATTATAATGTTCTCGTCTGCTAGTCGATTCTATATCGGTTGCAGGAAAGCACCAGAGTCCATCCCTTGTTTAGCTGCAGTAATTCCCAGCTATTCAGGGTTTTCCATTTGAGTTTCAATGGAGATCATGCACGAATCTCTCAGCATGCACTGTTTTAAACCAGGCACTCGCCCGTTGTCCTTGTTGCTCAGGGTCTAGAAGTTATAGTTGATACAACACAGCTATTTTCGTTTTTACTAGTAGCCCTTGACATACGGCCATTCCTTCAGGGACTGGGCACCGAACGAACGCTAGTTAGGACGGGTCCTACTCCTCATAGTTCCTTCCAGCTCAGCGTTCTCACAGTCATGTGATCTGGGTGCTTGTCAGTCAGCTCACACTTAGGACTGCTTGTGAACACCTGAACTCTGTTTGCAACGTTTCCCTGCCAGCTTCTTCAAAAAGTCAAGAGGGAAAGGTTTGCAAGTTGCTGGGGAAAGTGTTCCCCACCTACGCAAGCTCTCCTGGCCTTCTGCAGGGCCCCTATGCACCCCCCGTGATCCACCTATCTTGGGCACTCCCTCACACCCTGCCAACCTGTGCCTCTCACACACCTTGTTCTCTCCCCCGCCCAGCAGCAGCCACTTACCTGTCTGCAGGCTTGGAACCTGCAACTTCCTGCCAGGTTTCACCCTGACTTTTGGCTTCACACCTCACCCAACAAGTGGAGGGTCTCGATTAACCATGGCAACTGGGATTGCAGGGATCGCCACCACCATAAATGATACGGTCACGCTTTATGACTGCCTTGCTTAGCAACAGAAATTTCGATCCCGCTTGTTGCTGTAAGTCAAGAACTTAAAAGAAAAGAAATAAAGATTTCACCTGTCCCGTCATCTCCAGCTCTAGGGAGGTGGTGCTTATCTCTGCTTCCTCGCTGAGGAAGTCAGTGTTGCCAAGCATGCTGTGTGGCCATATGGCCAGCATGACTGTACACCAAGGCACAGGGGACACTGTTACCTGCCCACCGAAGTGGTACCTAATTATCTACTTGGATTTGCGTACTTTTGGACTAGTCGGTTGGCAGGTGCTGGAACAAGAGAAAGGAGCTCACCCCGTCACGTGGCATTTGGGTCTCGAACTGCCAACCTTTCGCCTGACAAACTCTGCATCTTAACCACCAATTCACTGTGGCCCCTAAGTCAAGGACCACCTAGAATTAAAAAGAGAACACTTCACCTCACTAAACAGAAAGGAGCATTGGGTGGTCTTCAAACTTTTACAGCTCAGATCAAATCATTACAGCACAAAGGCCAGGTAGAATAAAAATAATAAAAGAAGTATTGCATCTTTCCATACCTGTGTGTAAACGGTCAAACCGTAAGTGTAACAGAATCTAGAAATAATTCAGAACAAAAATGCTAAACAAATCCAAGTAAAATAAAAAAATATATAAAAAAATACATTCCAAATCTAAATAACAATGAAATATATTCAGCAAATGGTAGCACTGAATTGGGTGACTTGAGAGATTGTTTTTGAAGGTGTACTTCCTACCTGTACTTCCTAACTGTACTTCCTACCTTCAAGACCGGACGCATAAGGGTCTGTTTGGAATCCATATGGCTTAGAGTTCCTATGGAACCTTGACCACATGGGCATAACCAAAAGTGCTTAGGAGTACCCTTAAAACATCCAAAGAGGACTGCTAGGGGCAAAGCATCCAACCTGCCTTACAGCGAAGACATTACAAAATTTTAAAATCGGAATAGATGGAGTCTGGAGCAAATCTTTTGGAAGTAAATGATAGATATTGGGGTGTGACGCTTTAGTTAACATTGTTGGGAGATCTATATCCCAAATTAGTTTCTTAGAGGGAGTTGTAGCATTAGAAAAACTTAAAAAGCACAGACTTTCCATAGAGAGGCCTAGAAGTTGAATTTTTATCAAGGGCTTTTCAAAGCCACGATGATTTCAAACAATTTTTAAATACTAATGGGATCAAACCTATAGGAAGCGGAATTAACTTTAGCCAGAAGCCGAGAAAAAGGAACCCTGCTCCAGCATCCAAGAGAAACTAGGCCAGTTTTGCCATGTTGGATGGCATTTTTAATGAATGTTGGAACCATCAACATGGCTGTAACACATTTATTTTGGATGGGTTCAATTACACGAAGCTTTGCAAAAGAGTCAATTTGGGAGCCATAAAGAAGCTGAGGGACTCTTTGAGCTTGGAAGACCTTTAGTTTGGAAGGACTATAATAGACTCCTTTCAAGTGGGTAAAATCGTACAATAGCTACAGAGGTTACGCTTTGCAACATTGCCCGATAAGAAAAATGAAGGTGCCAGAATAAGAAAGCATGAAATTGCACGCCAGGGTATTTATAGGTGTGCACCTGTTCAGCTGGCGTCCCATTTATTTGCCATTTATAAATTTTACGACGTTGGGTAAAAACTTTTTAAAAAAATTATTGATAGATTTTGTTCTATGCAAAATAAAACCGATGCTTTCCTCATTCCCACGTGTGAAGTAGCTTTAATAAAGACATCAACAGCGTGCGGCAGTGTTGAAATCACACCCTCAGCCAGGATGGGTGGGTGATGGGCTAAAACTACAAGTGTTTGGGTTACAGGGAGTCCTCAACTTGCAACATTTCATTTATTGACTGTTTGAAGTCACACCTGCACTGGAAAAAGTGTCTTGTGACCGGGGGTGGGATTCTACAAGGTCAGACCAGTTCTATAGAACCAGTTGTTACAATTCTGCACAGTTCAGAGAACTGGCAAATCACACCACTGGCTGGCCCCTCCCCGCCCAGCTCACTCCTCACCTGGCATGTGCGCCATCAAACTTGCCTGCATTTGGTAAGTTGCTATTTTTCCCCCCCCCCCCCCCCCCCGACCATCAGCTATTCTATTGTGTCGGGAGATTTAGATTACCTAGAAAGCAGGAAATCGTTGGATTTCTTGCTTTCTAGCTAAAAGCAGAGCTGAACCTTCCTTAGGACTGAAGCTTCTATTTTTCAGTGCAGACTCAGGTAGCAGATTGCAGAAAGATAGATCTCTGAGTGAATCTGTGATTCTGTGAGCAACTCAATCTGCCTGCCTCCTTTGCCTGATTTGGGGTAAAAATTGCTCTTTTTTAAATAAAAAATTTAAATAAAAAATCAATGTTTAGATAAATATTTATAATATTTACATACAAGCCACGCCCAGCCAGTCACATGACCACCAAGACACACCCACAAATTAAGCCAAGCCCGGAGAACCGGTTGTTAAGAAATTTGAATCCCACCCCTGTTTGTGACCATTTTTCTCACTTAAGACCATTGCAGCATTCCCCAGAGTCAACGTGACCCAAATTTAGATGCTGGGCAAGTGATTCATATTTATGACGGTTGCAGCGTTCTGGGATCACGTGACCCCCTTTTGCAACTTTCTGACAAGCAGAGTCAATGGGGAAGCCACTTTCCAGCCATGTTGCTAACTTAACAGCCCCAGTCATTCACTCAGCAACGGTGGCAAGAGAGGTCATAAAATGGGGCAAGATTCATTTAACAACTGTCAACGCTTGGCAGCAGAAATGTTGGGCTCAGTTATGGTTGTACGTCAAGGACTACCTGTGTTGAATTTAGATACACATTTACGGCAAAAACAAAGATGTATGCTTCCTCAAAACAGGGGATACATCATTTCATTCTGAGCAGTCATTTTAGTGCCAGGAGGCATTTCTTTGTCCAAAAATGCTACACAGATGAAAACAGAGATAAGTTTTAACAAGTTTTGCATGAGTGGTACTTTAAAATCATACGTGAATCGTGGGCATGTTGAAATCATTTGGTTTCAGCCATCCACAAAAATCTTTTAGGGCTAAACTTTTCCTCCTGAAGCCGGAATAAAGTTCTTGGGCAAGAAACCATTTCCTTTTGAAAACACAGCCCGTGAATGAATGCAAAGTGCCGAGACTGTGTTTTGAAATCCTTGGACAAACCAGGAATCTTCTCCGCAAGACAAGAACGAACCGCGTTAGAATCTGTAACCTTACTTTTAGTAAACATTAACTCTTTTTTCCCTTGGCATCATGGAAATTCCTCTTGTATCCTTGGCACGTACAGGTCATCCATCCTGCTTGAAGTTCTCCCCAGAATTAACCGTTCGGGTGAAGGCCTTACGATGGCAGTGCATTGAGTGTAAAACCTGCAGTTCCTGTCGAGACCAGGGCAAAAATGCTGTGAGTATGTGAGCTGAAGGTTTATCTGCTGGATCAGATATATCAGACAGCAAGAGCCCTTAGACTGATATACCGCTTCACAGTGCTTTACATCCCCCTCTCTGAGCGGTTTACAGAATCAGCCTCTTGCCCCCCAAAATCCTGGTCCTCATTTTACCCACCTTGGAAGGATGGAAGGCTGAGTCAACCTTGAGCCCGTCAGAATTGAACTCCTGGCTGTGTTCAGAGTTAGCCTTCATTCTAGCCACAGGGAGGGAGGGAGGAAGGAAGGAAGGAAGGAAAACAGCAATAGTACTTGGACTTATATACCACTTTCCAGCCCTCTCTAAGCAGTTTACAGAGTCAGCCTCTTGCCCCCAAAATCTGGGTCCACATTTTACCCACCTTGGAAGGATGGAAAGCTGAGTCAACCTTAAGCCCATCAGAGTTGAACTCCTGGCAGTGGGCAGAATTTGCCTACAATGCTGCACTCCAACCACTGCACCACCATGGCTCCTGGATAAAACTTGGAGTAATCTCTTTTGAAGAATTCATCTGATTTGCACTTAGACTTTGATTCAGCGACAATCACATATACCTTTGTAATGTCCAAGTTAGAGCACTTTAAAAATACTTTTGGGCTATTTGGAAACTACAGCTGGCACAAAGTGGGACGGGAGTCCAGCTGGAGCAACTTATTGCAGGAAACCGTTGAAACAATTGTTTTATTCCCAGCATGTTTTTGGATCTAATCCAAAGCTCTGAGGTTACTGTTTAATGCTCCGAAGGGCCTTGTAGTCTGTGAACTACTATATTCCCTGTGTGCCCGACCATTTTCTAAAGCCATCAAATGCAAGCGATGCTTTGTGTCGTTCTGCGGCTCATGTTAGATAAGTGGGTTTGCACGAGAGCATTTTTGTGGCCCTTGTTGTTGGTGATCTTTTTAATCTTTTCTTTCCAAAGCATATAGTGAAGAAGCCGGTCTTGATTTTATTTATGTATGTTTATTTATGTAAACATTCGTTAAAACGTGTTTTTTTAAATAGAAAAGCAGAACACAAATATTGTGAAAACAAAAGTTGACACTTTAAAAAGAGCAATAACAAAAGTATTTCTTCTCGTGCTTGTTAGTTTAATATGTTGCTTGTCACAATAGTGACAAATTTATTTAAAAGTTAATTTAATACATAATCTTTCCAAAATCGTGACAATGTAATCAGTAACAAAATGACAATAAATCAGTAGAACAATCAAACTGGAATGTGAATAAGAAGGGTTTCTAACTTTCAACTACTGCAGACAGCTTTGAATGCAAAAATTGCAAAACCAGTTCTGCATGAGGTGGCTGTCTTGTTGATTGTGGTTTTTCAGAAAGTTCCATACAGAAGGTGCCCTTTGTGGTTGTTCTAACTTTAGAATATGAGCAAGGCATATGAAATAAGTTATTTATCAGAGGGGTGGTGGTAATTATGAAGAAGACATTCTCTTAATTCGTTAATTGAGCCAATTTGGTCTAGTGGTTAAGGCACCAGCCTTGGAAGGGCAAGACTGTGGTGTTCAAGTTCTGCCTTAGGAATGAAAGCCAGCTGGGTGAGTTTGGGCCAGTCCCTCTCTCTCTCAGCACAACCCACCTCACAGATGGGAAAATAGGAGGAGGAAGAAGATGTGTTGGGTAGGTTCGCCACTTGGGTTATTTGTAAAAATAATAAATAATAAATTTATTTGGGCTACAAATACAATAAATCAGTTGGTTACAGTAGGTAGATCTATATCCTGCCCTTCCTCTAAGAGTGCAAAGTAGCATGATCCACCACCAGTTTTATCCCCACAGCAGCCCTGGGAATAAGTTAGGCCAGTGGTTCCCAACCTTTTCTTCACCCCACCCCCTTTCAATGCCTTTTGTGACCATGGACACCCATGACTTAAGATTAAAATCACAACATTTCTTCAAGCCTTTGCGAACCCCCTCTGATGACATCGTGGTCCCCCAGGAGTCCCTGGAGCACAGGTTGAGAACCCTTGGGTTAGACTGAGAGAAGGTAACTGGTCCAAAGGTATCCGGTCAACTTTTGTGGCTGGGGAATGGCCTCGAAGTTGCTCTAGCCACCGTATCACCGTGGCTCCCTTAGGTATTCTCAACTGTGGCCCAACGCATTGGGGACTCCCAGGATGTAACTCTCCTAAGCTTGCGCATACAAGGCATTAACCAGAAACATCTTTGCCTTTACAGGATAATATGCTCTTTTGTGACTCGTGCGATCGGGGCTTTCATATGGAGTGTTGTGATCCCCCTTTGACCAGGATGCCAAAAGGTAAGGAGGGTGGCGGCAGCTCAGAAATGCTACAAGAAGGAGCGGTAAAGTTTTTTAGATGACGTGGAAAAACTTGAGCACGCGGGATAGAATCCATAGGCAGAACCGTTTACCCATTTGCACTCCTGTGCAATGAAAGAAACCGCTTTATGATAAAGGAGCTAAGAAAATGAACGGCAAGGCTAGTTTTTCTTCCCTGCTTTTTAACATATATACGTGAAGTTGCTGGGAGATGTTCTTCAGTGGTTCAGGACATGGTGGTCTCCTCAATATCCTTGTCTGGCGTCCTATGGAGGGAAGAGAGAGCAGCTCTCCGAGTTGTTGTGAATACACCAGGGTTTTCCATCACTGCCTCAAGCATTCCCTGTCAAAGAGCAGGTACATGATATGGGAATCCTTCTGGATTCACAGCTTGTGGTGGATGTCATGGTTAGAAGATTCCCAACTTCAGCTGGCGCTTCAGTTACAACCCTACCTCAGGCACAAGTGAACCTAGCTGCAGTCATTCTCCTGCTTATCGCCATCTAGCTAACTTCCCTAGTGTGCTCTAGTTGTGGTTGCCCTTAAAAACTACCCCAAACATTACAACGGATCCAATAATGCACCAGCTTGCGTACTTTTTGGCTTCTGTTGTTGGAAGTGCGTATGTGACACTGGTTTGTGCACCCTGTATTGGTTGCCTTTTGGTTTCCAAGTGCAATTTAGGGTGCTGGTTTTTTTTAAGCCATAAATGGTTAGATCACTGCAGGACTACCTACTCTAACGAGTATTGTCCTAATTGATGAGGTCTAAGAGGGAGAATCTATTACCAACTCTTCATTTTCAGAAGATCCAGGTGGCTACAGGGAGGAGGCCCTCCTGTGAGGTGATAGCACTGATGCTATGGAACAGCCTCACAGTTGAGATCAGGTTAGCCCCCCCCCCTCCATTGAAAGCATTTAAAAACTGACCCCAAAGTGCTTTTTCAAGAGGCAAGTGGACTTTCTGGTTTTTCTTTGAAGATGTTTCGCTTCTCCTCCAAGAAGCTTCTTCAGAAGTTAGGGTTCTTCTCTAAAACAGGATTTCTCAGCCTTAGCAATTTTAAGATGGGTGGGCTTTTCACTCCCAGAATTCCCAGGTGGTGGGGAATGAAAGGAAGATGCGAAACATCTTCAAAGGAAAACCAGAAAGTCCAGTTGTCTCTTGAAAAAGAACCTCTGAGACCACCATGACCTGGATGACTGAGAATCTTCCTAGACATTTAAAAACCGAATTTTATTACCGATTTTAGTATGCCATCTTCATTTTCTACTTTTATTCTTGCTAGGTTTTTTTTGTTTGGGCGGTGACGTTTTTACTGTTTTTAGAATTGCTGTCCTGTCCAGTTTTACTCACCTTTATATTCTGTGCGAGAATCTCCAGATAGAAGATAGAAATGTGGGGCACAAACAAGCATGACTGTGGTGCTCTTGTATGATGATGGGATTTGTCTCTTACAGGCATGTGGATATGTCAGATATGTCGACCACGTAAAAAAGGAAGAAAACTACTCCAAAAGAAGGCAGCACAGATTAAGCGACGTTATGCCAACCCAATAGGACGTCCCAAAAACAGATTAAAGAACCAAAATGCAACGTAAGTACTCTGTGGCTTGAATAGAGATTGAAGCAGTTTTGCTGTTGGAGACGCCCTCCTTTTTGCAAATTTAAGCACCGAGTAACTTAGTAGCTACTTCGGAAGATGTTGGTATTACCTCAATTTTAAATAGATTTTTCCTTTAAACCTTTGGGTTTTTTTATTCACTAAATTCTTTAATATTCAGCAACATTGTTTTGGTTTCAACATTTATTTCCATTTTTAGCTTTGGAGTTTGCCAGATGAAGAGTCGGGGAGAGTTAGGTGGAAGAACACTTTTACAGGATGGCACCGTGCAATATTGATATTTCTTAATTCTGTCTTCTAAAAGAACACGGCTGCAAAAGATGGATTTTGCCAGAAGAGCTACCCTTAGGTTAAAAATCCTTCAGGGAGTTTGGATTTCAATTTGATTTAGAGCCATTAGTGAGCTTTGATTCTTAGGAAAAATGTATGTTGAACATACATTTAATTAATACAACTTTTGAGTTAGGGATGTCCATTAAATGTTTTATTTTTTATTTTGAGCTTCTAACAAAACAGTCCCACTTGAAACATTCCATCAGACCATTTTGTTAGACTAGCAAAGCTAGCTTATGTTCTGCTAGAAAAAATCTCGAAGCAAACTCGTAGACCATTCACATTTTGCTTTAGTCTTGGAATACTACCAGTCCTCAACTTATAGCCACAATTAAGCGCCAAACTTTCTGTTGTTAAGTGAGACATTAAGTGAGTTTTGCCCCATTGAATAACCTTTCTTGTCACAGTTGTTAAGTGGCTCACTGCAGTTGTTAAGTGAATCTGTCTTCCCCATTGTCAGATGGTTGCAAAGGTGATCCAATGACCCTAGGACACTGCAGCCATCATAAACGTGAACCAGTTGCCATTCACCCAAATTTGGATTACGTGACCACGGCGATGCTGCAACGGTCATGAGTGTGAAAAATGATCATGTCAATTTTTTGCAGTGCCGTTATAACTTTGAACAGTCACAAAACAAACTGCTATATGTTGAGGACTACACATACTCAAACATGCCCTTTCTTGTGGTTGAAGTAACTCTTTCCAAGGCTCTTAGAAAGTCCAAATTTTGCTCCGAGTCTGGACCACTCACACTGTTTTCTGCACCCCTGTTTTTTTAGGATATGGATATTTTCGATATTGCATCCTTTTCTAGCATCCCCCGCTTCAAAACACAGAACAGTTCTATTAAGATACTGATTTCTAAAGAAGACCGTTTACTTTCCTGCAACCATATTATCTCCCAGAAGTTCAAAATTGTTGCGGCAACAATGAAATCTTTGTTCATTATTTCATTTGAATAATCAGCTAATCATCTGGCTGGAGAATTCTGGGAGTTGAACTCCAACAAGTCTTAAAGTTACCAAATTTGGAAACCTCTGGATTAGATGCTTATCAGTTAATCCAATGCAAAAAAAAAAAAAAAACCACCCTGGGAAGCGATATAAAAGATAAAACATTCAGGGATGTGCCAAAAGGGGACATGTCGCTGTTCCATAACACACGCAGAATATTGCACACCTATTCTTATTCTGGAAGATTTACTTCTGGAAAACAGAACAGCTGGATTGGGACATTCTGGGAAATACTGGGATATTCTACCCTTGTATGTGTTTTAGTTTTGCCCACAAGTGAAACCACCTTTTCAGAAGCCTTTTTATAGATCCTAAGATTCTGGCTCATAAAATGGTAAAGGAGTCCCTGCACATTTTACTCATTGCTAGAGAGCAGTGATCATCTCCGTTTCTTGCTCATAAACACAGATTTTTAATATTTTACCAAAAATGGAAGCATGCGTTTTTTGTGGTGGCAGTTGTATTTTATGTTTAGGCAGAAGAGTCGTGAGAAATCAACACCAGGTGCCATTTTGCACAGTAACACGGAAGTAATTTCTCTGTTGAACTATTGAACGTAGTTGGATTTGATTCCAGTAAACTCACAGGGATGATAAAGTATAACTCACAGCCCAAGGAGAATTTTAAAAAAAAAAAATACTGTGAATCAACTACTGTTTGCAAGCTTGGTTGATACTTTGCTGTCTTCTTTTCTGATAGCTAACACCCTCTTCTTTTCCTCTCCAATTATTTGTTCAGATCAAAAGCCCCCTTCAGCAAAGTTCAGACAGGACCCGGTCGGGGTCGTAAGCGTAAGACCCCCTTATCCAGCCAGTCAACTTGCTCATCGGATGGGGGTTACTTGGACCAAGTTGATGGTCTGGAGTTCTGCGGCGATGCGAGCATCACCTTGAAATTCAACAAGAAAACCAAAGGGCTTATCGATGGCCTTACCAAATTCTTCACCCCGTCCCCCGATGGGCGTAAAGCTCGAGGAGAAGTCGTGGATTACTCTCAGCAATATAGGATCAGGAGAAAGGAAAATAGGAAATCAAGCACTTCAGATTGGCCCACAGGTAGCGAAGAGAGATTGGCTCTGTGCTTTATGGAACTCGGAGGTTGTCAGGGTAAACGGCTACAACAAAGAAACTGCGATAACCACAGTTTAAGAGCTGTCCATTAGAAATGATCTGTTGTATTATCATAGGAAGATCAGAGCAAATCTTGATTTGCTTGCAATTTATTGTTTTAGTCAATAATACTCCAAAAAGCATTGGAAATTGGTTGGAATTACTCTGTCTATTAACAGGGGTTGCCAACCTTTTTGACCTCAGGGACCGCCAAACTCATAATTTTAAATCCCGCAGACCCTGGGAAAATCCCCCCAAAAAAGTCTGCAGGAAAATTCCCCACCCCGTTTTCCTACCGATCGATCATTCTTTATTTGGGATCACAGGATACCGTCTCCAGCTCCATTCTCGGGGAGTGGGGGGGAGAGACTTTTGGCTTCGTGCAAGGAAAGCAGCAGAAGCAGCAGAAGTCTTTCTTTCTCTCCCCCAAATTCTGTCAGAAACAAGTCTTTGTGAGACTCGTCGTGCCGGCACAGCTTCTTGGAGCAGGAGGCCTTGCAGGGTCCCAAAGACTCATCTTTCTGAAGGAGTTTGGGGGAAGAGAAAGAAAGACTTCTGCTGCTTTCCTTGTGTGCAGCCAAAAGCAGAAGAAGAAAGAAGCGGAAAGAAGCAGCCCGGTGGCCAGGCACATGGGGCAAGTGGGGCAAGTCCCCCCCCCTCCGCCCTTTCCCCCCCCCTCACAGCCTGGTGTCGTTTGCAATGCAAGCGACACAAGCCTTGTGTTCACGCAGGCCATGTGGGTGCCACAGCCTTGTATTCCTGTGCAGCCTGGATTAATTGCTTGGGGGAGGGGTAACATTTCTCTGCGGACCACCAAAATATTCTTGCAGATCACCAGTGGTCCCTACCCACCGGTTGGTGACCACTGCTCTAAAGAGCATTGGAAACTGTTTGGAATTACCCTGTCTATTAACTAGAGGCTTTTGCCATAAATCGAGAGAGGGCACAGGGCTGTTTTTGAGGAAGGGTTTTGGGTGGATGTGGAAGAAAGAAAAGCACTTTCGGTAACCGAGAAGACTTCCTTCTCTTGCCAAAATTAAGGAGGATGAGATTGTCTTGTTAGAAGGCAAAGAAAGGCACGGATGCCATTTCTTAATTGAGAAATTGCTTCACTTGCTGTTTCAATTGTGGATAGTTCATCCAGGCATTCTTTTAAATGTTCTGTTTTCAGACAATCAGGATGGCTGGGATGGAAAACAAGAAAATGAAGAGTGGCTTCTAGGAGGCCCAGACGTCATGGCGGAGAAAGATATGGAGTTGTTCAGAGACATCCAGGAGCAAGCATTGCAGGTAAAGTCAAGCTAACTTCCACCCAGTGTGTTCACAGCCAAAGAAGCTCACCAAGAAAGAAGCTTTTACTGCTGTCAAGGAAACCGAAGGAGATCACTGACATAAGATTTTCTGAGTATCAGACCACTGATGCGCAATTTATTAACTCTGATTTTGGTGCAAGAAGTTCTGGGGAAAACTTAGAAGACACTATGGCATGGCTCAGAAGGATGGGCCTGAGGATGCAACCCCCTGCTGGTTTAGGAAGACCTAGCTTGTAAACCTTCCATGCAAATGGGAAACAATAATTTGGATCATTGCAGAATTAATATGGAATTACTGATGTAGAGTTGAATGCATTCTAACTGGGCATTTCTTGGTGGCTCCTCTTTCTGTCATGCACATCTAGTTGTGTGGGAACTCCCTTGAGATCCTTGTACAGATTGTTACTTCCATTTTTAGGAGGGATAGTAATTCAGAAAAACGTTCGGCAGTCTCTAAAATGTTTCATATTTTTGGAACACTTGTTCTACAGCCAGACATTATCCTCTTTTTAATGAAGGCAGGATTGATCACATTAGGAAACTATAAGAGAGTGGGAAGTTTGGGCTGCATTTACAGGTAAAGATGGGGAAGAGGCCTAAAAATTGTAGTGGCCCAGTGGTTAGAAGGCAGAATTTGCAGGCTTACTCTGTCCACACCCAGGAGTTTGATCCTGACCAGCTCCAAGTTGACTCAGCCATCCATCCTTCCGAGGTGGGTAAAATGAGGAGCCAGATTGTTGGGGGCAAGAGACTGACTCTATACCGCTTAGAGAGGGCTGTAAGGCACTGTGAAGTGGTGTATAAGTCTAAGTGCTACTGCTATGGCTTATTTGGAACCAACACAAAGGTGAAAAAGCATGGAAAAGCATGCAAACTTAAATGAACTGGTTAAACTTACACGTCTCTCAACTTTACTAGCCAAAGAGCCACTGCAAGACGAAATACGTGTCTCTCTGTTAATGTACGATGCCTTCAAGCCTTCGAAGCAAATTGTTTTAGTGTGGGTAGCAAGACAGAGAAGTGTGAAGCACTCGTGGTGGGGCTAGTAAGAAAGCACACGTGTTTTACAGCCTTCAGGAAGCATTAGATCCGTTCCTTCATGCCACAACTTTGCTAATTGGTTTGTTTTGGCAAGGACTGGGTTAAATGCAGCCGAGTAGCTGACGCAGTCCGTCTCTAGGTAGATCAGACGGCCGCACCTGACCAAAAGGGAATTCACTCAGTAAAAATGCAAAGATGGCTCGCTGATTTATTGGGGAATCTTGTCTGACAAGAAGAACCTCAGACTCTGTGTGGCCAGTTTGGGTATTGGCAGCTTTTGATGAAACCTGGGACCACCTGAAGGGGATTTGGGCTGTTGTGATGTGCAAACAGTTGTATTGGAACTGGGACTTCACCTTTATTTCGGATGCTCAGTTGGAGGCTGTCGGGAAGGCGCAAACTCACACGCTGTTATCACAGGTACAGTGAGCGGCGTTCCTGCTTGAAGCATCTCTGTGTACGATTAAAGAAATTCCAGCGGCCCCCCCAAAATACGAATATTCTCAGTTTCCCTAGTGAGATCATAGTTTTATATTCATTCTGATTGTTAAAAGCAATTACGTATTTTCCATTCCCATTAGGAATGAAATGGCAATTGATTCAGTAGGGCCCAAAGGGGCTTTTTCAGGAGGCAACTGGACTTTCTCGTTTTTTCCTTTGAAGACATTTTGCTTCTCATCCAAGAAGCTTCTTCAGCTCTGACCGGATAGTGGGGAATGGAAGCATTTATACTCCTTGCATTCAGTAGGCCGTATTCTTACAGGATGTTATTCCACCGATTAGTCTGTTTGTTAGAGCACTTGCACCTGAGCAAATTAATTGAAGGCAGCTTGTAGAATTAAACTTTTTTTTTCTCTTTCAATTTACCTGTTGTGTGTCCCCTCCCCCGCCCAATAAAGAGACTTTCTTAAACTGCGATGGAAACGCATTGTCTAGTTTGATTTGCTCAGACTCCTTAGATGCCCGAGGCTTGAGACTTCTTTGGTGAACCCTGGCAAAGAGATGGCATTTGAAGAAATTGAATTTCCTCTGGTGTGCAATGCGATACACTGACAGAAAGCTTTTGTTGTGCGGTGTTGTGAATAGGTCTAGCAGGTTGTACGCTAGTATGTCGGGTAAGTGTGAAGGCAAGGCAAGATTTTTCAGAGGCAGTGTTAGACTCATTGCTACTTTGAAACGGTGAAATAAAAGAGATGGTAAACAAGGCACACCTATAAATTCCCAAGGACTTGCTTTGCCCTGAGGTTGGTATAGGAATATACAGATTGCTTTGTGGGTTAAGATCAAAGGTTTTGCCTTCTGTGGCATCCTTTTTAACAGTTGTCAGCCAGAGGTCTCTAGCAGGTTCGTGAGCAGAGCTCGATGGCGGTAGCTAGCCACTTCTCGTTTTATCCTCAGTATATGGTGATCAGGCTTGCTGGTTCTAAATACAGAAATTGTGTTTAGCTATTAAAACCCATCCTTATCTTGCGGACAATGTCATCCACACCTAAATTACATAATCTTCATGCAGTTCCGAAGTTTCATGTGCTGGTTTCTGAAGATACCTCAGTTTAATAAACCGGTGTTTCCTAGACTTCAACTGAATGTTGTAATCTCTCCTGCTTTATAATGGAGGATTTAATGTAGGTTTAATGTAATGTAGGTTCGTGTAGGACATTAACCGGCATCATGTCACATCCAACTCTGGAAATTTAGCTTAATCTTGGACTACAAATTTGGATAGGAAACTAGAGAGTGAGAGAAGAGGAAACAAACTAACTCATTGTTCTCTGTTGATTTACTAAAAAAGAAAAGGAAAATAGAGCTGTTTATAGGTATTTTTAAACACCTAGAACCATTTTTTACACCATCAAATTATCATTTGGAGGGAGATCAGCTCCAGTGCAGTAAAATTAAATAATTGTTAACCTAAACCTGAAAAGACTTGCTTTTCCTGGTCTTCTAAATGAATCCTACCAATCTCTGGCTTAAAAAAATGATTAAATTATTGGTTGAAGGGCAGTCCTAAATCTTTGGGGACATAGTAATTGTGGCTTAAGCTAAAGAGAAAATAATTCACAGGGCTGAAGTAAGAAAAGTCGAAAGGAATACATGCACCCACAAGGCTTGCTTGCCTGATTAAAATTCTAAACAATGATTTGGCATGTCACCGTGGTTCGGTTCAGTGCATGAGGATGGGGGAAATCTTGTTCTTTTTTATCTAAACGTTTCAACATGTTCCTGTAATTCCCTAGGAAAGGGAACATAAAGGAAAAACAACCAACAAGAAATGGCTTTACGGTGGAGTTTCAGCTCTGGCTAAGCTGAACTAATTAATGCCTACTGAGAAACCATCTGCACGGCCTTCCTCAACTGGTTGGGAGCGGGGGGGGGGGGATAAAAATGGAGGAAAAGAAGGCAAGAAAGAACTGGACCTTCTGGCTGTAATGTTTTTTGGGTGCAAGAACTGGACACCTGAAACCCTCTGTAGGCTAAGAATATTATTTCGGGCAGGACGTGCTGCCCTCGAAGCTCAGGTGCGCGGATACGCAGTGCTGAGAGCAAAAACAACCCTAAGTACCCAAGAAGCAGCATCTGGAGTAAATAAGAGAGGAGGAAAAGCCCTGTCACTAGGAAAAGCTGTAAAACATTTATAGTCTTTATTGTTCAAAGTTCTTAGTGCACGGGGGAAACTAAACAGGAAAGGATTAAAAGAGCCTAATTGGCTCTTGTAATCTTCACCTTTCTGCCGCTTGCGAGGTATTCCCTCCTCTCCTTGAGAGGAGAAGGGGGTAGTAGGTAGAGAGGAGAAAAGAAGGATTCCTCCTTTTACAGAGAAGTAAAACTGTAAGCAACAATTAAGGCCAAAATTATGTTGATCACTTGAAAGGCAGAGGCAGGACTCCCACCCCCCACCCCACCCCCAGAGCACTTAAACTTTTATGACCTCCAGTCTTCCTGCAGAAAACCCCCATTTCTCCCCCCACCATGAAGCTGCTTCCTATGCAGTTAGAGCTAAGACTTTATTGTCCCTTTGAATGTACACTAATCGGTCACCACCTCCAAATACGCATTGCATAACCATGACAAAGTAAATAAATACAGAATGATGCGTCTGCCCACATATATTATATATATGACACAGAGAAACACCTCAGCCTGGTTCTGGTGCATGCATATATATACATGGCGAGAAAAACGAATCCTGCGAGTTTGCCAGACGGGTGGCCTAGGGAAGAAAGGAGTTATAGAAAGGTTCTTGGGAGTTCCTACCTTTGTTTTTACTTGCACAAATAGCCTGTGTAGAGATAAGTTTTCTTTTGTCCTGGTTTATTTTATTTTGTTTTATTATTTTATTTTATTTTTTTGTCAAGCAATTATAAGATAACAGGTATAAGTATAAACATAGTTATGAATACATGAAATGGGTACATATAAGAAAAATAAAAGAAACAATAGGACAGGGATGGTAGGCACGTGTGGTGCGCTTATGCACGCCCCCTACAGACCTCTTAGGAAAAGGGTGAGGTCAATAGCAGACAATCTAAGGTTAAAGTTTTGGGGGTTTGGGGAAGAAACCACAGAGTCAGGTAGAGTATTCCAGACATTGACCACTCTGTTACTGAAGTTGTATTTTCTGCAATCAAGTTTGGTGCGGTTTACCTTGAGTTTGTATCTATTGTGTGCTCTTGTATTGTTGTGGTTGAAGCTGAAGTAGTCATTGACAGGTAGGACATTGCAATATATAATTTTATGTACTATACTTAGATCGGACTGAAGGCGGCGTAGTTCTAGGTTTTCTAGGTCTAGAATTTCAAATCTGGTGGCATAAGGTATTCTGCAACGAGTAGAGGAGCGGAGAACTCTTCTTGGGAAATATTTCTGGAATTTTTCAACTTTATTAATATCAGATACGTAATGCGGATTCCAGGCTGATGAGCTGTATTCAAATATTGGTCTAACAAACGTTTTGTATGCTCTAGTTAGTAGTGTGATTTTACCAGAGAAAAAGCTACGCAACTTTAAAAGTTTAAAACTTTAAAAGTTGTATCTGTATAAGTTGATAATGCTGATATTTTTTTCATGTTTACAAATAAAGAACGTATAACATTTCCCTTAGAGGTCTGAACTCAACCGATAATTCTTAAATTGAACTCAGTATCCTAAGGCAATTCCCTCTGAGGTTTACTCTATTTATTATAGATGCCCTTGATACACAGTTTTCCTTCTTCACTTTATTTGCCCCGAACTGCGAGATGGGTGGCATACAAACTGAACAAATAAAAATAAATAAATAAATACAATCCCATTTATTTCTTTAGAATGATAAGCGGAATTTAGTTTCCTTACGATCATTGCCTGGGTCATTACAATAAGAAACATTTCTCGAAATACGAAGTATGACTGGGACAGCAACCTTTTTCCTATGTAATTTTCTCCATTTTTTTTGGCGTCGATGGAAAGAGATGTTCGCATAAACTTGTTGCTTTTTTAAACTAGATTCCCAGAGCCGTGGAGTAAAATTGAGAGGGTTGAATTTGTGTATTTCTTTTTACAGAAAGTAGGAGTGACGGGGGCACATGATCCCCAGGTCCGCTGCCCATCAGTCATCGAGTTTGGAAAATATGAAATCCACACCTGGTATTCTTCTCCATATCCCCAAGAATATTCCAGGTAGGAAGCACCTTTTGTGATGTGCGGTGTGTTGCCCACTGGAACTTTTTGCCATCGCTGGAAGTAAAACTATGACATGTTTATCTGATACACTCCTTCTTTTAACCTCCCTTAAAAATGGGAGGGTGGCGGGGGGCATGTCAGACGGAGAAAGGAAATAGTAGCCAGCAGTGTAATAAACATAAGAAGGATGCAGATAAAATTTTGGAAGGTAAAGTAAAGAATATGCTGGCTGATTTTACAACAAGCTTGTTTCCTGAATTTATTTTTCGAAAGAGTCCTTTTCGTAGAGGTTTTATAGGAGAGAGTAAAGAATTACATTTGAGTGTGATGGTTGGTGTACAGTTAAATCAGTAGGTTTGGTAGTATATAATATTGAGCCTCTGGTGACTTTCCTCGTAACCCTTTTTGCACTGCGCCCTTTTGAGCTTGGAAAATACATTCCCTACTTTGTCTTACTTCTGCTTCTTCTTCTTATTGATGGATATGCAGGCAGTCCTCGACTTATGGCCACCATTGAGCCCCAGATTTATCCTGCAAAGTGAGACATTTCTTAAGTGGCTTTTGCCCCATTCAGTGACTTTTCTTGCCACCGTTGCTAAGCGAATCAGTGCCCCTGTTAAAGTTAGTAACACAGTTCTGTGAATCTGGCTTTCTCCATTGACTTTGCTCGTCAGAAGGTCACCAGAGGAGATGTCACGACCAACCCTGGGAAGGCTGCAGTGGTCACAAGTGTGAAAAATGACCTTAAGTCACCTTTTTCAGTGCCGTCCTACCTTCAAACGGACACTAAATGGACTGTTGTAAATGAAGGACTGCCTGTATCATGCCGGAAGTCAGCTTAAGTAGTCTTTCGCTTAGGCCTCTGCAGGTCTCCCTCTGATCCAATCTGCTCTTTGGTTTAATACTGTACAATGAATAATTATTTAAGAGAAAACACTTTCTTGCTCTTGTTATTTGTTGCAAGGATTGAGAACTGCAGGGATTATATTGCTTAGCTCTTTGAAAGTTACTTTTTTCTTTAGCTACGTAGAAGAATATATATAACTTTATTACAGTCATACACCAGCAATAGACATCACTATTTACAATAGATATAAAAAATACTGACACATTATAATACGTTAATAGTGGATAAAAACATCTGTTAAGAAAATACATGTTCTCAAACAATTAGGGGCACTCCCTGGTTTATATGAGTGGAGAGCCAATAAGTATGTGTGTAAATATCATTTTCCAAAGATTGTTCTATCTCCAAAAATTGTCACAAATTGACAGCTAAAATTCTGTAACCAATTTTTTTCTAGTAGACATTACAGCAACACCTTTAGCTATAGATATACACTTTTCTTTAATAAACATAAAAACTCAGTGTCTATATGAACAGCGTGTTGTTTGAGTACAGTTAGTTTTGAACAACAAAAGTGAATAAGCATAATGGTAATCCTATATGTATCATTGATAATAATCACATAATAATAGTAACATTGGTTATCCATACCAGGAAGCTTTCCTTATATAATTCATCATTCTTTTAGTCTCTTTAATTTCTAACCTCTCTTTCTATTAGCCATTGCTAAACATGTTAAAAAGTATTCAGTTTCTTTCTTCTCCTTTATTTTTAGTATTAATCTGTCCATCTCTGTGCATTCTAATATTTTTTATTGTACTTTCATCTAAAGAGATCTCTTCATTTTTCCATTGTTGTGCAAAGACAATTCTTGCTGCTATTAACACATGTAAAATTAAATATGTAGTCCCTTTATTATATTGTTCTGGTAAAATACCCCCCAGAATATTTCTAGTTTAAAATTAATGTATTAGTTTATTATTTTTTTCTAACCGTGTATGTATTTTGGTTCAGTATTTTTTTTTGCCTTTTTTCTTTAGTTCTGAGTGGGTATTAACTGGTTTGTATTTTTTTCAGGTTGCCCAAGTTGTACATTTGTGAATTCTGTCTCAAATACATGAAAAGCAGAACTATTCTCCAGCAGCACACGAAGAAATGTGGTTGGTTTCATCCCCCAGCCAATGAAATATACAGAAAGAGTAATGTCTCAGTTTTCGAGGTAAATTTCAACGGCTCTTAACTGCTGTTTGTCCCCAATAAAACAGGCAGCGTAGTTCACAATGAATTTTCACAGCAAGTTCTGAACCAAGGAATAGGAACTAGCTCTAGAACACAGAAATATAATCTGAATAGTCTCTGGGTATGTTGTTTGCCGAGTCCTGGGCAGCCAGCAATTTTTAGTGAAGGTACAGTGGGTGAGAATATGATTTATGCTCACATGTTTCTGCTGAAAATTTCTGCCTTCTACATTGGCTTTTTAAATACCATTTCCAAAAAGAGTTCTGTTTCACGATTGAGGAGTAGTAATGTTTTAGGTACTCTTTAAATAAGGTTATAAATTCTTGCCCATATAAACAAATATAAGTGGTTGCTAAGCTTAAGAATATGGGTTGCTGGGGAGGGGGGGGGCAAAGGTCAGAGTAGTGATGCTTTCCAACTGCTCTCTTAATGCTTTCAAAAATGGACGTTTTCCCTGTTCGCTCTAATATTATTTGGCCAGGATGTCGTATTCTATTGTGGTTTTGTGATGAGGATACACTCAATTAATCTACTTCTCACTTTGAAGGTGGATGGCAACGTCAGTACTATTTACTGCCAGAACTTATGTCTATTGGCAAAACTCTTCCTGGACCATAAGACTCTGTACTATGACGTGGAGCCATTTCTTTTCTATGTGCTAACGCAAAACGATATGAAGGGCTGTCACCTCGTCGGCTACTTCTCCAAGGTGAGGGTGCAGGCGTTGAAACCTGGCTTTTGATGTGCGGGAACCCTGCAAGGGTGTGTCCTCAAAGTCACCAAGAAATGAACTGAGTTTGAAGGGGACTTTAGTTTCATTTTGCAGCCCTGGGCGTTGGTTCTCTTCTGACCGTCACAACAGAGGGAAATAAGCTTCTGTAGTGTAAAAAAGCTACTATAAAATGTGGAGTTTGGAAATCCATTTAAATGATGCTAGCTATGTATAGGAACAGCCATTTCCTTAGCTGAATATTTCAGTTTTTACACGCCTTGTGTATATGTGTGTGTGTGTGTGTGTGTGTGTGTGTGTGTGTATTCATTCATATTCTTAAGTTTTCGTGGGTACTTACCTGTATGGCATTCAGCTTTGTTCAGGTATTTTCCCACATCATTGTAGTTGTGCTTTTAAAGTTGTAGCAACGTTTCGGCAGAATCTCATCTGCCATCATCAGGCTTCTGTATT